AATGCCAAATACTGACAGCAGTTGTTTCTTAATAGAACTATGAGTGATGTTTTCTAGTGTTTATAATTTTCTTTCTTGCCAAGTTTTCAACAATGAGCATATTATTACTCAATGGGGGTGGGAGGTGGGAGGGAACTTGAGTAAATAAGGCAATTCTGCATTGAGATAATTAAGGCTTTTCTAGATAATCAGGTAATTTCCGATCTAGAAGTAACAGAATTTCAAACCTATTCCACAGGACACTTAAGAATTTCTGATGATGCTTCATGGCCACTTCTGAGGGGGGGAAAAAGAAGCTAAGTACACCTCCTGTAGTTTGTACCTTTTGCCAGCTCTTCTAGCTTTCAAGACACCCTGCCCCCAACTGTCTCCTTCACCTCAGACAAGCCCCCTCCCCTCCTGACATTTTGTGCAACAAGGTCTTCAGCTGATGGTATCAGAGTGATAATCTGCTCCCAACCACCCAGGTCTTCAGCTGATGGTATCAGAGTGATCATCTGCCCCCAACCACCCAGGTCTTCAGCTGATGGTATCAGAGTGATCATCTGCCCCCAACCACCCAGGTCTTCAGCTGATGGTATCAGAGTGATCATCGACCCCCAACCAGCCAGGTCTTCAGCTGATGGTATCAGAGTGATCATCTGCCCCCAACCAGCCAGGTCTTCAGTTGATGGTATCAGAGTGATCATCTGCTCCCAACCACCCAGGTCTTCAGCTGATGGTATCAGAGTGATCATCGACCCCCAACCAGCCAGGTCTTCAGCTGATGGTATCAGAGTGATCATCTGCCCCCAACCACCCAGGTCTTCAGCTGATGGTATCAGAGTGATCATCTGCCCCCAACCAGCCAGGTCTTCAGTTGATGGTATCAGAGTGATCATCTGCTCCCAACCACCCAGGTCTTCAGCTGATGGTATCAGAGTGATCATCTGCCCCCAACCACCCAGGTCTTCAGCTGATGGTATCAGAGTGATCATCTGCCCCCAACCAGCCAGGTCTTCAGCTGATGGTATCAGAGTGATCATCTGCCCCCAACCACCCAGGTCTTCAGCTGATGGTATCAGAGTGATCATCTGCTCCCAACCACCCAGGTCTTCAGCTGATTGTATCAGAGTGATAATCTGCCCCAAACCAGGTCTGAGTTTCTTCCTCTAGTCACGCACATGTGTCAAACACAAGGCCCGCGGGCCAAATCCGTCCCGCCAGGCCTTGCAATGTGGCCCACACCGCGCTGTCATCACTGCACTCCGCTGCGTTTCCATCACAATGACAGTTTATGACTGTTCAGTAAACCATTCGGCCCGCGATTTAGGCTGGATTTTAGATTTTGGCCCCTTCTCTGATTGAGCTCGACACCCCTACCTAGTGTTTGGAATGTGAGTGACATTCGCTCTCCATTGAAGTGGCTGAAAGGGGCAACTTCGCCACCATAAATATCACAAAAGTAGAGGAAGTCAGTTTGCAGGGAGCATGAAACATGAACAAAATCCAGAAAACAAGAGCATAAACAAGGTATGTGCTTGGTTCTGGGCTCTAGCCATTTTCTGAAGCCCCACCAGGTTTGTAGGTTGGGTATCTTAAAACACCTTGTAGCCTGACAGCAAGTTCCCCCTTTCTGCTTGAGCTGTAAGCTTAGTTTCTGCTGCGTATAACCAAATATACACACACAGGCACCATTTCAACCGGATTAGCCAAGTCTTTATTTACACAGGGGGAAATATTCTCCTACTTAAAAAAAACAAGTACTATTTCTAGTAACTCAACTTCATCTTACAAGTGCAAAAACTGAAGTCCAAAGGCCTCATTTTCACAAAGCAAAAAGTTCTCCCCATCAAAAATGAAAAAGGACCCTAACCAGTTTGGCTCAGTGGCTAGAGAGTCAGCCTGCGGACTGAAGGGTCCCGGGTTTGATTCCAGTCAAGGGCATGTACCTTGGTTGCAGGCACATCCCCAGTATGGGATGTGCAGGAAGAAGCTGATCAATGTTTCTCTCTCATCAATGTTTCTAACTATCTGTACCTCTCCCTTCCTCTCTGTAAAAAAAAAAATAAATAAAATAAAATAAAATAAAATAAAATAAAATAAAATAAAATAAATAAAATAAAATATATATATATATATATATATATATATATATATATATATTAATGAAAAAGGGACTCTCACCCAGCCAGTGTGGCTCAGTGATTGAGCAAAGACTTATGAACCAGGACGTCACGGTTCCATTCCCAGTGGAGGTCGTGCAGGAGGCAGCTGATAATTCTCTCATCACTCATGTTTCTATCTCTCTCTCCCCCTCTTAGTTCCTCTCCAAAATCAATAAAAATACATTTAAAAAAAAGGGGGGGGGATTCTCAATGCTTACATAGGCCTTACTGGGTACCAGGTACTATTCCAAATGCTTCGCAAACATTAACTTATCTCTCACAATGCCATGACAAATGTACTGTTACCCCGTTACAGAGGAGCAGCACCAGGTTCCAACAAGCAAAGTAATGTACTCAAAGTACATAGATTAAAACCAGCTCTAGAATCTAGAGTTCCTGATCAATATTCTATACTGTCACTTTAGTAGGGATTTAAACTTAAATAAGTGGCACTGTTCATGCATTTAAAATCTGCAAATGGTGCTTTCTGTCTTGGCAGAACAGATTCTTAAGTCTCCCAGGCCTAATATTCAATGACTGCTTTTTATAGCACAGCTAGGTTCTAGGATATTATTGTCCAAGCCTAGTTTTTACCTATTCTTTAATTTCCCTTTTGAATCCCCATGGTTGTGCTTCATCGGAAGTAGAGATGGGCTACTATCTGTCACTTCTCCAACACAATTCTACACAAACCTTTTTTAAAAGTATGTATTTTTATTTGTTTCAGAGAGGAAGGAAGAGGGAGAGATGTATTATAGAAACGTAATTAATGAGAGAAAATCATTAATTGCCTGCCTCCTGTACGCCCCTACTGGGGATTGAGCCTGCAACCTGGGCATGTGCCTGACATGGAATTGAACTAATGACCTCCTGGTTCACAGATCTGAGCCATACCAGCCAGGCTATACACACCTCCTTATGCCATTATAGCCACTCATTCTGACCATTTTTGGCCTAGGTATGGTCATAATACAAAGGTAAAATACTATGTTTTTCAACTATTTTGTTAATTAGTTTCTAATCTGTGTTCCTTTTTCTTTAAAAGTGGCAAAGTGCAATATTCTATGTTTCTCAGAAAAACAAAACAAAATTGTTGTGTTGCATCTCACTTAATGTGTTTATCTGTCTTTGGATCCTTCATTAGGGAATCTTCCCCCCTCTCATCCTACAGCTTCTAAAATCAATGGTTCTTAATCTAGAGACAATGGACTATAAGGTCCATAGATAACTTCCAGGAAGTATACTAAAACAAATACATAATTTTGTATTAGTAAGCATTTTCCTAATGGAGAGAGTTCATGAAATTCATCATATATTTTTAAAGTTTCAGAATGCAAAAAACATTATGAATAACTGACTTAAAGAAAACTCTGCAACAGCACATACAATGGAAAATTAAATGCAAAATAAGACCTTTAATGATCCACATTTTTGTAGCACTTTAATTATGCTAAGCATTCTTTATTTGGTCAGAAAACCATATTCATGTTAAAAAGAATGTCCCAAATGATTTCGTTTAGCTATATAAAAAAATGTAATAAACTACAACAACCCAAACCATTGTTTTCTGGTTAAATTGTAGTTTGCTATACATATAATTTCAGATAAATGTGTTAATATAGTCAATATATGGTTTATAAATCTCTTCTTTAATTTCTTTGAGAACCGGTTGTTTCTATCTCAATAAGGTAAAGAATTGTTCATGTACTCATTCATTCTACCAGAAGTATTTATTGAACACCATATGTGCCAGGCACCACATCTGGCCCTATCTGCTACTGTGATTAATTCTTGGTTCTTCTCTAAATTATAGTCTCATTCCTCAAATATAGTTTAGAGCATATCGTTCATATTTGTATGCCCAACAACCAGCATAATGCCTAGATCTTTGTGGAAACAATGTATGGAACTACATAATGATAAAACATAAGCGAAGTCAGGCTGAATACAAAAAGCAATATCTTCAAATTAAGAAAAACCTCCCTGGCCCATTTTCCTAGCCAACTCATGTCAATTAAGTAAAAATGAGATGGTGCACTAAAATCGCATCACTACAAAAAAAAAATCTCAAACATGAATCTTTCTGATGTTTTTCTTGGACACATGAAGACAAGCAATCTCTTAAGCTACATAAAAAACCCTAAACAATGCAAAGAACAGATTAAGATTCAAAGGCCTTTCAATAAGGTGCCATAAAGATAGAAAATTTGACAGATTCACAAGCGAAAGATATTCCTTATGTTGTCCTTCATATTAGTTTTCAGGCCAACTGCTTCAGAAGCAACACCAAGAAATAACAGAAGTGAGGAACAAAAGGAGGAAAATGAGAAAATGCATGCTATGCATTTCGGCTCAGGCTCACTAAAATGCTCTAAGAGTACTACTGTGAATGATCAAAACAATCTCTTAGTCTTAAAAAAAAAAAAGTTTGTTGTAAGAGTCTTGGCTATTATATTGCACCGTATGTCAAGGGCATTGTTTGCTTCTTGAAAAACTCCCAGACATCCTGCCTGCAGCCTCCTCCAGGTGCCGCTAACCATTTCAGTTATTCTGGTGACACCAGGATCACACACACACACACACACACACACACACATATACACACAGAACAAAAATCAGCAAGTGCTTAGGAGGGGCCTTGAGAACTTTTCACCCCTAGCCGCAGCCCAGGATGCTCCCAGGGGACCTGCCAATAGACCGCAGCCCGGCCCGAGGGGCGGAGGGGCGGCCAGCCACGCCCAGATGCGCGGGGCCGGGGTCCAGGCCGGCGGACCGCAGGCCACACGCTCCGCAAAGGCCGCCCAGGTGCGAACCCGGGCAGGGCGGCGGGACAGCGCTGCGGCCCGGCCTCACCTCCACGGCCTGGCCCAGCTCCAGGTCGAAGCCCACCACACACACGCAGTGCAGCCAGGCCGAGAAGCCGTCCCAGCGCAGTAGGCCGCGGCCATCATCCTCCTCCTCGTCCAGCGGCACGGCTACCGCCGCCGCCGCCTCCGCCGCCGGCGCCTCGCGCTCCTCGGCCGCCGCCCCCGCCTCCTCCAGCGGCCCGCGGGAGCAGGGCCCCGAGCTGTCCGGGCCCCACAGAGCCATCCACCGGCCCCTGGCTGTTCGCGCCGCCTCCGCCGCGGAGCGAGCCGCAGAGCGCGCTCGGGTCTGCGCAGGCGCGGCCGCCGCAGCCGCAGCCGCGGGGGACGGGCTCCGCCGAGGCGAGACCGGAACCCACGTGACCCTGGGAGCCCCGCGCCGCGCGGACGTGGGGACGTCACGCTGGCGCTGGACTGGGATTAGCAGTCAGGCGCCGGCCGCCGTGTCTGAAAGCTCTTCGATACTGGCCGGCGGTTTATGAGTCCTGGCACCCTCCTTCACAGTCCAATGAAGGACTCCCGGCTCATAACTAGAAGGTATTATTAAATTAAATTAATGGTAATGGTAACAAACATTGAACACTTATTCCGTGCCAGTTGAGGTGCCAAGCAAGCACTTTATACAAAGATCGCCTCACTGAATCTTCGCATCCTGGCTCGTACGTAGACCTCGTTATTTATTTCTTTACAGAGAAGCAAACGGGTTCCGAGAGGTTGCATGACTAGGCCAACAAGTATAGCACCGATGCCAGCTTAACAGTTCCAGCCAACAGTCTGCTGATGGAGGAGTTCTGAGCCTGCACTCAGCTTTTCCTCCTCACTAAGGCCCCTCCCACCTTGCTTGGCTTGCATCCCTGTGAGTCACTCAGCACTCACACAGCATCTCCAGACCTTTCTGGAACGGCAAGTTGGCCTCCACAGCAACCTACGCATCACTCTTAGCAAGGGCCCAGTATCAGGCAGCCTTGTATTCTCAGACTAGTTAGTGCTGGGCTGGGCACCCAGGAAGCACTTGCCTTGCTCAGTTGAATTGTTACTGACTGTTGGTCCAGCATGATATTACTGACTAGGATTTATTCAGCACCTACTATGCTAAGTATAAACTGCACAGTGAAAGTAAATAGGAAACACAATAATACCCCAATTTAAAAAAAATGCGTAATAAACAATGGATATTAACCCACAATAAATATAATTTTTGAAAACAGCACTCGTGTTCGTGCCTTTACACACATTATTCTATCTAATCCTCCCAACAGCTAAAAAAGACAAAACCTATTATTATTATTCCCATTGTACTGATAAGGACCCTGAGGCTTCATGACATGACAGTGATATCACAGGCAGCAGGGGGCAGAACAAAAAAATGTTAAACCCAGGTCTCTGACAGCCAGAGCTCCTAAGCATTTTTGCCACCCTGCCCAGTCAAATCTACCCCATTTAGCTAACACTGTTCTGTCCACAACCTTAGGATTTTTATTTGAGGCAACTGTTAGCATCCCTGTTTTCAAGCAGAGAGTCAAGTATCCTCAGCCATCAAGGATAATGTTTGCAATAGACTTTCTTTAGGATGTAAGATGAACTTGTGCATTTTATTCTTAGCATGGTGGGTGTTGAATAAAATCGGAATAATCATTTCCAGCCTGCTTACTTCACCGATTTTCAGGAAGGGCCAGATTATTTCACTGTATGCTACCTCATTATTAACGATTAATGAACTTTAAATACCAGCTGTTCCATAGAGCTGGTTGTTTGACATGTGGATACCGATTGCTATTCCCCAAAATGCTGCTTTATAATTTGGGTTAAGAGTAATCTTATCAAAATATAGTGTCCTGCAAACAACATGTTAAGAGGAGCATAGCCATAGCCAGTTTGGCTCAGTTGATAAAGCATTGATCTGTGGACTGAAGGGTTTCAAGTTTGATTCCGATCAAGGGCACATGCCAGGTTGTACTCGATACCCTAAGGGGCTGGTGCAGGAGGCAGCCAATCAATGATTTTCTCTCATCGATATTCTTTTTTTTTAATATATATATTAAAATTTATATATATTTTATATATATATATATATATATATATATATATATATATATATAAAATTGATTTTAGAGAGGAAGGGAGAGGGAGAGAGAGATAAAAACATCAATGATGAGCCTAAACCGGTTTGGCTCAGTGGATAGAGCGTCAGTCTGCGTACTGAAAGTTCTCAGGTTCAATTTCAGTCTAAGGGCATATAACTTTGGTTGCAGGCACATCCCCAGTAGTGGGTGTGCAGGAGGCAGCTGATCGGAGTTTCTCATCGATGTTTCTAACTCTATCCCTCTCCCTTCCTCTCTGTAAAAAATCAATAAATATATTCTTTAAAAAAACAAAAAAACAAAAAAAACAACATCAATGATGAAAGAGAATCATTGATCGGCTGCCTCCTGAACAACCCCTTCTGGGGGTCAAGCTCGAAACCCAGGTATGTGCCCTTGGCGGGAATGGAACCTGGGACCTCTCAGTCCACAGGCCAACATTCTATCCATTGAGCCAAATCAACTAGGGCTTATCATTGATGTTTTTATCTCTCTCTCCTTCTCCCTTCCTCTCTGAAATCAATTAAAAATATTTTTAAAAAGAGGAGCATAAATTTGATGAGAAAGAAAGCATAGAAGGGCTCTAAAGAATCTTAAAAATGAAAAAAATATATATATATATTCAGTTAGAAAAAAAATTACTAAAACAAAATTCACAACCATCAGGGAAGTTCCTATGGATTTTTTGCCTTCCAACTTCATCAATTTTAACAATTTCTGTGGTTACTGCTTGTATGGGGTCTAAGAGAAAAGGGAGTAATTTTTTATTTTTTGATTTTTAAGGTTTTGTTATTAGAACCTTTGAGTGCGGAAGGAGCTTGGATCAGGGCATCTCTCCAAACCTCCCATCCTATTCATGAATTGTCTGAAGTTCAGGCAGCCGGCCACCGTCCTAACACCCCTTATTAAGGTATAGTCACTTCCTTACAAAGCTGCTATTTTCTGGATGCTCAGAAGGGCTAGAAAATTATTCCTTTTATGGGGACAAGATCAGCCACTTTGTAATGTACACCCACTGGCTTAAGTTGTGTTTGCTGAGATTCCAGGGAGGAGTCCAACTCTTCTATCCGATAGCCCTGCGAATATTTGAAAATGGTTATCCCACATCCTCATGCCTTCCAGTTTCCAGGGTAAACTACTTCAGTTCCTCCAACTGTTCCTCAAAGGATATTAGTTTCTAGGCCATTCATCATCCTGTTGCCCAACTTGGGCATACTCCAACTTTTCCACATCACTCTTAAAATGCAGCGCCCAGGAGGAAACACCATCCTCCAGGTGTGATGTGACCACTGCAGAGTGTACTCTGGGACTATTACCTTCCTTGTCCCAGCCACCCGCCTTCTATTAACGCTGGTTCAGATCACATTTGCTTGTTTTGGCAGCCAGGTCACATCACTGGCTCAGGTTGCATTTACTGTCAACTAAAGCCCTGGGTCTTTTTTCATTTGAGGAGCGCTTGAGTCAGGGTAGGCTGCTTTAGCCAAGAGCATGACTGGATTCAGGGCTCTGCTGCTCTTCTAATATTACCAACAACATTGAGCACAGGATTAAAAACATGCCAGACTTCCCTATTCATTTCTAACCAAACTCCTGGCATTTCAGCAATTTTTGTAGTTTAAAAAGAGAAGAAGAAAGAAAGAAAGTAAAAGAGTGTGAGCCTTGGATAATGGTGTGAATTGCCATGCCAAATCTCCGGGCTAAATTTTACCAAAAGGACCTGGAGGGAGTCCAAATACCTGAGATATCCACCTCCTGGGGTAGCCAGAGGACTTCCCTCTTGCTCCAAAGCTAAATGCTGTTGCAGCTGCTGGGCCATAACCACATTTGTAATGGAGAGAAAACACACAGAGAAATGCAAAAGGCTCAAGTACCAATGGGTTATCAATAGACAACTAAATTTACTGCCACATGCCTCTGAGAGACAAAATGCTCAAATGCAGATTTTGAAGGGAGGATCCAGGCAAAGAAGACAATAAAACACACTGTTTGGTGGTTCCTTAATAGTGCTTGTAAGAGTTTAAGGAGAACAAAAAGGTAAAGAAATATATATATTTTACCGGTTTTAGGGAGGAAGGGAGAGAAAGAGAGAGAGAGAAACATCAATGATGAGAGAGAATCATTGATTGGCTGCCTCCTGCACACCCTCCACTGGGGATTGAGCCAGCAACCCAGGCATGTGCCCTAACTGGAAATCAAACCGTGACCTTCTGATTCATATGTTGACACTAAACCACACTGGCCAGGCAAGAGTTTTGTTTTTTTTATATTTACATTCCTAATATCTTTAAAGTGCCTGGAACATGGCAGACACTCAGTAAATAGTTAATGAGTGAATCAATACACTAAAATAAAATCTCTAATTATTATTCTCCTATTTGATAGAATTTTTCTTTCATGGTCAGTTGTATGAACACATGAAAAGTTAACAGAAGTGTTTCTTAAATATACTTCACTCTTAGTTTATGAAAAGTAAAGATAGCAACACCTTAATTATTTGAAGGTTACTTTTCCAACTGTCTGACTCTAAGTGCCAGGGAGCAGTTTTAATAGGCTAACTAGCAGTCAAAATGAAAAACAGAAAAGGTAACCAGTAAAATTTATGTTCTTTAATCAGAGATATGTGAGGCCTTTGCTCAGAAATTACTTTGTCTGAATTTCCACATCATTCTAACAGATAAGCTTGTCAGGTTTCCCAGACTAACCAGCAAATAAGAGTAAAGAGGCTGGTGGAAGCTGAGCATGAAAAGAGAAGAAAACAGGAGGCTATAGGTTAATAGAATGGAAGGAAAGAAAAACAGGAGTCAAAAATAAAAGCATTCAGAAGGATATGCAGTAAACTATGAACAGTGGTTGCCCATGGGGAATTGAAATGCTGGGAAATAAAAGTGCTGGTGAATAGAAATAGGGAACTTTGCTTTTTATTTTACATAATTCTGCATTGTTTTATTATTTACAAAGAGCATATATTGCTTTTGTAACTAAACATTAAGTGATAACAAGGGTGTCCTGGCTGGGTGACTCAGTTGGCAAAAGCATACACCAGAAAAATTTCAGGTTCATTTGCTTGTCAGGGTACATACCTTGGTTTCAGTTTCGAACCCCAGTAAGGGGGTATATGGGAGCCAACTAATTGAAGTTTCTCTATCACAATAAGATGCCTCTCTCTCTCTCTCTCTCTCTTTACCTTCCTCTCTCTTTAAAATACATAAAACCATGTTCTTGGGCGAGGATTTTTAA